AAAATTTATTGTCCCTTGAACTAAATATTGACACAGACTAAGCAGTATCAATACTTATCTCCCAGGTTAATACATTTTTATATTCATCTCAACATCCATCAATATGTGCTTATTATTATTATAATGTTTGCCCTTCGGCAGGAGAAGCTTGCCTGTGGGTGAGAGGGAAAGGGGAGGTTTCCATTAGTATTCTTTTCCCGTTTTAAACTTCACGAGATGCTTTATCCTGCAGATGAAGCACACAGCAGCCCTCATCCCAGCAAAACCCCATCGATGGTTGTGATCCTCCACGCACTGAATACGGGATCAAGCAATTGATTTTTGGGAAATGTGCAGTTAACTGTCACTAGTGGAAGGGGCAGCAAAGCCACCACTTCTGTTTTATAGACCAGTTGCTTGGTGGTGCTTCCTGTAGTAACCCTGTGAGTAAGAACAAGCTACCTAACGGCTCACAGAAAGAGAGGAGTAGCGCAGAGTGCAGGGGACAAATTTGACCAGAGATCCAGCTGTGATCCTGCCTACGAAATGATGTTGTTAATGTGGAACAGGGGGACACTTGCAGATCTGTTAGGAACCTTGTGGTAACCTTATCTGACACCCGTGTTACATGTGGTGACTGTGTCTGCGTGCTACCTGGAACTTCATTTGTGGGCACCCTAATACTGTAGAGAATGCAACGGCCTCTTTGGGCCTCCTGCATTTGTTCCAAGAAGCAAGTGTGTGTGTGGGCAAGGAGAGCATGGCCACTTCACTGTGTCTGAAGGATACCTCAACCATTCTGTGATTCTGTGATTCTGTGATTCTCCTTCTGATTTGTCCCATCGCCTTTTTTATCCTAATTCTAGATCTTAGAGGACAGAGGTTTCCTGCTAGGCGGTGAGGGCAGGTTGCACAAAAACTATGCAGGCATGATGGCACTGAATGTAACAAGACTTATTTGGGATCTACAAAGGCCTCTTAGCACATGGTTTATGCTATAGGGATGTGTTTCTATGGCCATACCAGTTCTGGCAGGTAGGCAGAAACCTTGTCAGTTCCACAGCAGCACTGCAGAAATGCCTCTGTTCCTCTCTGGGTCTTGCTTCTAAACCTGCTGATCTTAAACACAAAGGAGATGAAGGCAATAACCAGACTGGGAGCAGTAGGAAAAGGTGTGTTCCTCTCTCCCACCCCCTGCACACCCTTGTGCTCAACTGTTGGGCTGTTGGTCAGAGACAGAGAAGGGTTTGAGTCACCTGTTGATCTGGATAGTGGCCAAAAAACAGAGCGTCACCAGAAGCTGTTAAAAGCTGAAAGTCTGGATGTGAATGTCATTCTGCCCAGCTGTGAGTAGACCAGAGAAACTTCTCCAAACTCTTACCTGCCAGCAGCAGCACTGGTAAGAAATCCTTGAAGCTGGAGAGCAAAGAAACCAGTTCCCCTCCTTGAGATGGTCCAGTCTTCCTCAGTTTCCCAGCGCTGAGGAAGGGCAGTCTGCACTGCTCCTGCTGCCGACAGCCACCCTTCAGTATCCGGCTGGTTGGCTCCTTTGCTGCACTTCCAAGGCAGAGAGGTGGCAGCGGAAGGAACAGCTGTTTGTAGCTGACATTTAAATGACAATTGTCAGTAGACAATCAGCATACGGTAACTGACTCCTCACATGCAGACAACTGCAGCAGCGGCGGCACGGAGCAGCTGCACGTGCTGGAAAACAGCACTGCATTGATCTGCAGTCGGGAAGGTCATCTCAGTGACTGAAGACTGCGTTTTGTGGCTTGACTTTTTTTCCCTAAAAGCTAGAAAGATGATAAATGAATGACTTATGTCCCCATTTCTAATGAAATACAAGGTTTTTGAGTCGTGGTTAAAATAACAAACATAACATAAATACAGACCAAAACGCCACCTCCTGAAAGTCACATTCTTCATTAGGCCTGGAGTCCTTGCCTTCCTCCTTTCCCCGAGTTAGCAGTGACTGGTATTATGACCATCAAGAACCTGCTTAGCCAGGAGGTGTGTTTGCTCGTGTTTTCAAAGCCCTTTGTAGCAAAATCAAATAGGGACCAGTGCTTTCCTCATGATTCGTGTTGCTTTATGATGGTAAACTTAACTTAATAGATGGTCTGAGTATTTTCCTCTTTTGGAAGCTGCTACCTCTGATGCATGTTTGGAAGAGTCTGTGAGTGAGGCTTAGGGCATTGATGTCACGCTGTACCGTTGAGTATAGATGCGCTGAGAATGTGAATGTGAAATGAACACTAAAAAACAGTCTCCTTCTGAACCAACTGCATTGCTGCCTGCAGTTGACTCATAACTCAGGAACCATATGCTTGTATTCCACTGACAATTGCCATTTAAATGTCAGTTTACAAGCAGATGTTGAGAACCCACCTTTGTGTAATTCATTAAATGACAAGAAAAGCAAAGTTTGAGGTTTAACGCTGCTCAGGCTAACTACGATGGGAGTAGCAACGGAGCCCAGCAGACCCTGACAGACCAGGGCGGTCAGGGTTAAGTGGTTCGGGCAAAGGAGCCTGTACTGAGGTCACCACAACAGCCTCGGTTAATGGGCTACGGCAGCCAAACAGAGCGTGGTGTTAGCATTTCCCTCTGACAATTATAACTGCGTAGACAACTCCAGGTTTTGTGGGATGGCTGGCAGTGGCCAGGAGAGAGGGGAAATGTTGGACTATGAAAGGAGACAGATTAAAGTGCTCAGGTGCAGAAAAAAATGAAAAAAAATACTCAATAGATGAACAAGCAAAATCTGGAAGGGGAGAGAAGGCAGCCCTCTCTGCTCCGCCAGACATTTGCATGTATTTAAAATCCTTCCCAATAAAGTTCATAATGAATTTAATTCAGTCCCCTATGGCCCAGAGGAATGTTCTCAGTAATAAAAAAGTATTGCTAAGGGACAGATGACTGCCAAATTCCTGTTCTGTGCCAGCAATGCCTATTTATATTATTGGCACTTAAATGCTGGATTTATTTTACTACATAAATGATCCTTTGTCACATATTAAGAATTAATATTGTAAGATCCACTTATGGGAAGTTACAATAACAATTTCTAAATTTAAATCATTGTTAAATTTGTATGCTTTATTTTTAAAGAGGTTTCAGGTGTTTTGGTGGGGTTTTTTTGTTTGTTTGTTTGTTTTTTTCAGATTAAAACAGTAGTTGAATGTGGCAATTCCTATTTTGGGTAAACTATTTTGTGGCTGGTTTATGGCTTTTTAGAACAGTTTTAGTCAAGGATCTTTTAATGTCTCTTTTTTTTGTGTGTGTTACCTTGAAATATCCACATCAATGTTAAATGAATTATAAGCTCAAACACTTAGAGGTTGAGATGTATTCACTTACACATAGTCAACTAGGTAACGCAAGGTCTCCTGGCTTCTGTTGGTGTAGTCTGATGTACTTTTGATGATTAAACTGAGTGATTCAAATGTGTGCTGGAAATTTCAAGCACCAGTGATGGAGGGCACTGGACCACAGTGTTACTTTGCTTATAAACATCATTATTCCATGGAAGATAAATCTCTGCTCTCATCTGGTGTGTCACTTCAGTGCAGTAGTCAGGAAAATGGGAAAAAAAAAATGGAGCTACTATTTTTTTTCACTTTAATAAGGAGGAGTGGAAGGGAAAGTTGGATATGAGGTGAAATGTGAAGGAGTGTAATTCCTAGCAGGCAGCAAGCTCTAGGGAAAAATGCACCAGTGCTGGTCTAAAATGCAGTCTGGTGTACGTTAAAGCCAATACAATGTTGTTTAAGCACCTTCTGCACATTACAGTGCAACATCAACTTCTAGAGCCTGGGTACAAGTTCAAACTGACGGCAGCAGTGATGCAGTCAAAATATTTAACATGCTAAGGTCTGAACATAAAGCTTTTTTCTTCACTTTACTTCATACCACCACGTCAAGTGTGAACAGTTGGAAAAAAATACTGTGAATTTGTCAGCATGTTTATTTACATGGTGCATCTCCTTTGAATCAACAAGCATTTTTTTCAAGTATAAAATGGAACAATTACTCATCCCTGGAAAGCAACGAAGTTTTACAGACATCTCCTCCCACCCCCCAAAAAAACCCCTCACCTCACTGCACTGCGCAAGGGCACAAGCAGCTCATTTTTCACTTGCTGTACACTCAACAAAATATTCAGTTCCCAGAACAAAAGTGTCTGAAGAATATAAGGGGGAATCTTAAACATTTGTCAGTTTGAACTAAAAAGATCGGTCAGTGGCAAAGAATTCAGATGGAAGCAAAAAATCAGACATCTCAGAGAAGTGCATTTGAGCTGTAAAACTGAATGCACACATTGTTTGCTCAGTTTTTCACAGCAGCATTCATAATTTAGGAAACTATTAATCAGCATGATGGAGTATCCTCTTTCTAACCAAGAACAAAAAAAAATTACACTAGAGAGCTTATTTTCTTTTCCCTTGAAAGAGATCAGCTGGTACAATGTGACAGGAATTCTGCAGACCTGGGTTCGTGGGCTTTGTGTTTAAGCCACACAGGAGAAAAAGCACCAATGCAGCAGCAGCAGAAGCGTCCTGTTGCTGCCTTTTTATAAGGCCTGTCACAAGTCACTGCTCAGGGCTCCCGATTTTGTTGGTCCATGCCAGGGCTCCTACCCCTGTATCTGTTACGCTGACAGCAGAGAAGAAAAGCACTGAAGGCTAGAAAACGTGCAAGACCAACACAAAATTCAGATCAGCTTTTGACAGAGACACAACAGGTACTGAAAAATGAGGCAAGAAGGCCAGGGAAGAGTGGGGCAGCCAAGCAAAGGGACATGGGATGGTGTAGGAACGGGAATGAGAATGAAGAGACTGTGGCTGAGGAGAGTTGTGGTGGTTAAAGAACAGGAAATGGCAAAGTAACTGCATTTATTGCTTGTCTACTGACAACAACCTGCCAGGGCTCTTAATCAAGTGCTGTAAATTTAAGATATGCTACTTCCGACTAAAATTATTGTGACATTAACTGATTACAGAAGCAAATGATCAAAAAGACAACTTTTATTTGGTAGCCCATTCAGTGAGATCATAAATTTGTTACAGTAATTTTAGCTTTCATTAATGAAATTGACTTCTTAAAAAAGAAAGACGACATTTCATACCTTTTCTTTGCTTGGGAGTGGTGGTGGGGAGAATTTGGACGTACCCTGTTTAAGCCCCGGCAGTATCAAAGCTAAGAAAAATCTTTCTTTTTCGTCCTCCTTCCCCATTCCATTTGTCTTCCCACTACTGATGTATCATTTTCCTGGCTTGAAAAATCAGTGAGCACTACTTCAGAATTGTGTTCCTGCAGGGATCTGTTCAATGGGGGCAATCTGACTTAGCCTAGACAGGTAGGAATTAAAACATTTCTGTGCTTCTGTTGAGAAAGGAGAGGCTGGGGACTAACAACATAAGAAAAGTCTCCTGGAAGTGAAAACCGTGCACCTTCCAGATACTCCCTGCTGGTCTGTGCTCTGCAGCAGGGAAGCCGACCTGCAACTTCATCTCCCTCCAAGCGTTCATAAGGCACATTTCCTGCAAAGAGAAAAACAAAGTGGAAACCGTGAGCTGGTGGCCGCGTTGTGTGTCAGCAGCAAGGCCTGGTGTGGGGAGCACTGTGAGGAATTGTTCTGTGTACCTGGTATCTCATGCAAGATGTCAGGATTTCCAGCACCCACACGCTCCAGCAGCAATGGATGCCAACCAGGATCTGAGCAGCTTCCCCTGCTCTGTCTCCCGCCCGGGCACGGAGCCTGCTCAGGTGCCCCCAGACATTCCTTCGGGGCCGTCGTTCCGAGGACGGCGTCACTGCTGCGACCCTAGTGAACACCGGTCCAGAGAGGCAGGATTTTCAGACATCCAACGCTTAAGTCACCCCCTTTTTAATGCTATTAGTGATGCAGCAACATGTATTTATATTTACATATAAAAAGTCAGATATCACATTTTTAAGCATAATTTATAATCTGAAACTGCTTACACTTCCATGACTAGGCTTGGGTTTTTCTCATTTACATTCATAATTTAATTCCACTGGAATTTGATTTTTAAGAAAGCCCAACATACCTTAATTACCGTAAAAAGATCCATACATATTTTACTTAAAAATATCTTCTGTAAGAGGACATTTACCAAAAATAACACGAAATATATTATTATGCATACTTTTTCTTTTTTTTTTTTGTAAAATACAAACAAGAATCTGATCTCTTCTGGGTATTGCCTGATCTAATATGGCTATAGGTTCTGTTTCTTTTGTTTTTCAAAGTAAAGGGAAAGACATAAGGAACGTAAAAACACAAACCAAAAATAAAAATACATTCTTTCCAAAGATACAGATATCAGTGAAAGAACTCTTTGAAAACTAATAAATGGCAATAGGTACAAAGGAACATTATCCAAGCACTGTGCACCCTTTTGTCAGAGCATGTGCTGCAATGACCTTGCAACAGTTATTAAAAACAACAAACAAAAAAATGCTACCGGCAGAAAAAGCTGTCAAGCAAAACACTGAAAAATTGGTGCTGTTTCCTAACAAATAAGTGCAGAACTAAGGATTGTTGTGTTTTATTTCCCCCACGTATGCACACTTTTTTCTCCCTCTCTCTGTTCACAGGACTGATCGTTGCAACTCTGGCAATCTGCTGGATGCCAAACCAGGTGAGAAGGATCATGGCTGCTGCTAAACCAAAGCAGGACTGGACTGTCCCCTACTTCAGAGCGTACATCACTCTTCTTCCCATCGCCGACATCTTCTTCTACCTCAGCTCAGTGGTGAACCCCCTCCTGTACAACATCTCTTCTCAGCAGTTTCGCAGTGTGTTTGTGCAGGTCCTCCGCTGCCACCTGACAATAGAGCACGCCAACAAGGAGAAGTTTCTCAGAGCCAACCTCAGCTCCAGAGCAAGGAGCAGCCGGTCTCTACGCCCGCTGCTCTTCATGTCATCCAGGCGCAACTCTTCTAGGAGGGGCAGTAACAAAGTTTTCTTAAGTACTTTTCAGAATGAGCCCAAGCCTGGCTGCAGCCCACAGAAACCAGGTCTTGAACCGCCGGAGCCCAGCGTGGAAGCAGCGCCACTAGAGACAAGCTCAGAGCCCAGTCCAGACGCACAAAACGGCCTTTGTGAACATCAAGTATGACTTCATAAGGCAAAGTTAATGATTAGCAATGAACTTAAAAACATGGAAATTTAAATGACTGAGGAATTGACTACATCTTAAAAAGAATTAACACAGATGGGTTTGTTTCCAATTATGCAAAAAGAGCAGGAGTCCTGTGTCCTGCTGCTGGGATTTCTGAGTGCACACTGGAAATGCAATCTGCTAACTGAATTCATTAGCTGCCAAAAATATCATCCCTTCTCTCCCCAACAACCACTGAACTTCCCTCGCTGTTGACAGGGATTTGGAAACAAACAGAAAATAATTGCAGTGTCTTTGAAGAAAGGAGGAGACAGAACAAACTGTGTCAGGGCAAAAAACTTGCTTGAAGTTTAGCAATATGAAAACAAAAGAGCCAATTTAAGGAGCAGAAGGGTGGTTATCAGGCGTGCCCTCAGCGCCACCCCAGAATTCCCCCTCTTCTTTGGCCGGGGTCCATTGCAGAGTGGAGTGTTGCAGCAGCTGATGCAAACAGAGTTCACCTTCCCCGGAGAACAGAAGGACTGGTACCCAGCAGAGGCTATGAGACACGCTGCTGAAGATGCGCAGGATTTGCGGTACATGATTCCTGTGACACAGAACAAAGGTTACTCAGTTCGATAGGAACATGGTTTTGCTTTCCAACACCATCCATGCCTGTTGCAAAAGCCGTTTACATTTCCAAAGCGATGCTGGGGATTAAGCCAGACACCTCAGGTGACAGCTCTGCACTGCAGAGCAGCACAGTCACTCGGGTTTGGAGTTTTCTTTTCTTTGACTCTGGTTGGAACCAAAAATATTACAAACTTGATTTACATCATGTGTATCAAATGATGCCTTTTATAACCAGAATTCTTCATCTTTTGGAATAAGCTGTTTAAATAGCTATAACTGAAATGCAGTTAGTTTGAAAATGACTTTTGTTTCTGTTGCTGAACATGTCTGAGTTGTTTAAAGTGTCTAAATAATTACAGTTTTCTATGCTGTTATTTTGTCTTTTGAGCATTTTCCTCCCCCTTTTCTTCTTCATTTCCCACACAGAGACAAGTAACCAAGAGTAAAAGGAGAATGACTATCAGCAAAACTTTAATCTCCCTCTCCCTCTTTTATTTTTTTTAAAGAAAAACTTGGAAGTACTTTTCCAGGTAATCTCAGTTCTTGCTGTCTTTGAAGCTTAATACCCTCAACAACAAAATTTTCCATTATTACAGAAATGGCTTTGCTGAGTTGAAAGTCTTTCTTTTTAAACACAATTTAATTTAATCTAAATTTAATTAATAATCTATTTAAGTTTATAATTTCTTAAATTGTTTTTACTTGAAAAAAGTACATTCTGATGCACATAAGTGTTATTTTAAAATGGTTTTTAAAGGCTCTAAAATACATAGTTGCATTTTCCATGCAGTGGAAAATGGTTGTGTTTGTTAGTTCTACCTCTCATTACTCTAAAAATTTCCTGCAAGTGATACAGTAGAAACTGTGTCTTGGAAAAACACAGACATAACACATAAATAGATAATGGCAGTTTGCTTATATTGCCTTGCGGTTACACAAAGAGGTAAATATTTCTAAGGATAATAAAATTGCTATTCCTTTCAAATACGGGATTCTCAATTTTTTTTTTCTTCTGAAGGGCATAGGAACAGGATTCCCTTGGAGCGTGGTACCTCTGCATCCTGTACCATGGTCCTGTAGTGTTTTTAAATACACAGTGATTTAGTCTTTTTTTGGAGGGAGTGAAGCAGGAATATGACCTGTAGGTACTGAACTTATCCTGCAGCTACTTGTTCAGTCCCTGGGGACTTTGGAATTAAGCACTACAGCACCTACACAGTCCTGTAGGAACCTCTGCAGTAGCAACTAAGTGCTGCGTACAGCAGCAAAACACGGTTTGTTTAGGTTATGCGTAGAAAGAAGGATTTCCTGTCTTCAGAGACTTTTAATTAAAGCAATTATTTTACGCTGCCACAACATTGCTGCCATTCCGACTATGCAGAAATTTCCCTTTCCCTGTTTTGTGTTCTCCTGCTGCAAATCTAAACTCTGAAACGTGTTTTAAGGCTATCTGTCTAGTTAAATTTATGAGGAAAAGCCCTCAAGTCAGTGTTAAATCTTCCTCTGTCTCCAGTGAGCTTCAATCAATCAGCACAGCGGGTAGAGCCTTTTCCCAACAAGGAAGAGGAGTTACAGGCTGTCCTAGCTGTAACAGCAAAGGCACACAGATCAAGAGGCACAATCTTTATTACTATAGTTTGCAACAAGAAGAGAGCTCTGTCTCTGTTGACAAACCACAGCTGTGCTGCCACTGATCAGCTTACAACACTGAAATCTCAGCTGATGTTTCCCACAAAGACCTGGTGCTTTGTCCGTGTTCCTCCTGCAGGCTTCCAAGAGCTGAGGCAGACGTGACCCTTCCCATGGCTACGATTAACTTTTTTCCTTCCCTCTTCAGAGAGGAATCCTGTGTTCAATGGATCCAGGCACAGCAATTGTTCTTCCATCTCTAATCCCGCATCTCCTCATCACAGAGTCTTTCCCTGCAGCTACAGCCACCCACCAAACTCAGCCATTCCTCACTCCTCCCTGGGAACAGCTGTGAATCTTGACTTGCCCCTCAAAGACCGAGCCTCTAAAAAGCATTTGACATTGGCAGCTTTCCTATACCTGTTGTTTTATAGATCACTCTCTTCCTGCCACTTCCTTTTCACAGGATTCCTGCAGAGTCCTGCTCACTATTTGAACTCGCAACTGATTTATTAGTTTAGGTCCCTGAAATATCATATCCTTTGCCATTTTCCTGTAGACTGGGAGACTAGAATTATTCACCACTGTGAACAACGACACAATGCCCCCTGAGGCATGATCTTCACCAGGCAACTCTAGGAGACCTCTCCTGCAAAAAAAAAAAAACAAACCCAAACCAGTCCTACAGCTTAAATTCTGTGTTTTTACAACAGCTCTGTTCTCCAGGATAAATTCCACCGACTAATCCTGAGCTCCTTTTGAAGTCCTAACACAGTATTCCCGCACAGACCAAAATTTTACAACTGCAAGTTTCGTGCACAGGTGGACCATGTTCATGCCTAACTAGAGAGAATAATCTAACTGGTAGTAAAATCCCATTGTAGCACTTCTCCTGTGGCTTTTCTGTAAATATGTCTTACAACAGGCAATCTCACTCCCAAATGATTGTTTATTCCCATTCCCAGCTCTAGTAATCTGAAGCATAACAAGATTTTTTACACAATTAAAACAATCAGCACTTCTATCAGGTTTTCAGTAGCTACATGGATAAGAACATGCCCTTTACATCCAAGTTTTTTTTCTTTAAGTACTGATAGATTCTTTTGAGCTCACAAATCAGCTGCTATCATACACTAGTTGTGCTTTTTACAAAGCATCAGGTATAAGCTAAACTTGATCAGCAGAGAAAGGCTGTGCTTTTTCTCTAATTCTGCAGTATCCTTATAGCAAGACACAATGCAAACAGGCATGGAAGATTGATGGAAAAAAGACAGAATGTTAGCACTACAGGAGTGACATTTTAAAAACACTTCAGCTGTGATTTAACTTTTTTTTTCTTAACCACAAGTGTGAAAAAGCAATGACACTTTAAATAGCATGAATTAAAGAAAGGCAGGAAAAATACTCTTAAATCTTCTTCCTGTTATATTGTGATTCCAGTTTAATTGTGGTAGGAAAGAAATCAGTACAAGTGGCTTCCATGGTTGGATGCCAGGCATACTCTCCTTGCTCCAGCAAACAGGTTCATGTACCCCAGTTACTGCAGCTCACCCCGAGTTCAGACAGAACACCAGCACCCTTCCTGGATTATCTCCAGAGATTAATTGCTTTTATATCTCAAGGATGTCTTTCCTCAGACTTCTCTCTTGCAGTGGTTTATTGTACTGGTGAGCCAGTTCTGAAACTGTTTCTGAGATCTGGGTCTCTTTAGTTTGGAGACGAGGAGACTGAGGGGTGACCTAATTAATGTTTATAAATATGTTAAGGGCGAATGTCACAAGGATGGAGCCAGGCTCTTCTCAGTGATGCCCAATGATAGGACAAGGGGCAATGGGTGTGAGCTGGAACACAGAAGGTTCCAGTTAAACTTGAAAAGAAACTTCTTTACGGTGAGGGTGACAGAGCCCTGGGACAGGCTGCCCAGGGAGGGTGTGGAGTCTCCTTCTCTGGAGACATTCAAGACCCGCCTGGACGCCTTGCTGTGTGATCTCATTTAGGTTCCTGCTCTGGCAGGGGGATTGGACTGGATGATCTTTCAAGGTCCCTTCCAATCCCCAACATTCTGTGATTCTGAGATCTTCCTGAATCATTCACCACCAGCAGGCTGAACTGCAGACAGGTCTTCAAAGTGGTTTTATCTGCCTGGTAAGACTCACACCACAGACATCACTGCTAATTACTGGATATTCTTGCTTGAGCAATCCGCTTGATACATTTATTAACACATGACCTAGAAATATAATCACAGACCTTTCTGAGAGCTAGCTCAGACCATTCCAAGTTGCTGGCAAGGCAAGGAGACTACAGGTTTTACACATGGCTTTTACTGGGATGGGGTCATTCCCAGCTACTCACCCTCAACAGTTTACACTAGTGCTCAATTAGTGTACTTACTAATAAATCCATTAGCATATTTACTGCCCAGTCTCTTGATGGATGAGTACCAAATAACTCATCCTTTTTCATGGATTCAGCAGCATGGGTTACACATAATGGTACTATAATGATGTTTTACTATTAATACCTACTACTGACCAATTTATTTTCCTTCCTTTTGGCTTCAAGGTTTGTGGAGTTGGCTGAGGATGTAGTTCAAGTACTTGTAAGAAGAGAGGGGAGCACACAAGGCTAGAATGTGTGTGTGATAATGCAGTAATATTCCACTCCCTCTCCTTCCACATACACCTACTATAAATACTTTATTTTATTAAAAAAATAACCAAAGAAACAAAAAAAAAATCCAAAAAACCCCAAGC